TCTTGTTAAATATACTGATCATGCAAACACCAAAAATGTTTGAATCCATGCTGTATTCACGGCAAACTCTTAAAGAGCATGAACAATGTTGACTGTGGCAAGGTTTGTGGCAGAATTATCAGATGTTAGGCAAAACTTCCTTCATTTTTATGCATCTGCAGAGCAGTGAAGCATGTTTCTCACCGAGCAGCAATGAATTGCAACTCACCTCATTCATATGCGCCTTCCTAGTTTAACAAGCTAGACATCAAGAATTTTCAATGTGAAAGTCAGAGTGGGTACCTGGCAACTTCAATGCAGCAACTGCTCATGATCCTCATGGCACCTTTTTAATCCACTTGCGCAATGCTTAGGAAGCACCCACCTGCATTGCAAAGTACACCAGCAACACAATCTGAAAGGCTGCAGCAGGAACATTTTGTGTAGGGATAGGGACCCAACTCACAGACTGAACCAGGCTACATCTTAGGGCTGAGAGATAGTAGGAACTGCCGATGCTGGAGAATCTGAGATAACAAGGTGTAGAGCTGGATGAACACAGCAGGCCAAGCAGCATCAGAGTAGCAGGAAAGCTGACGTTTCAGGTCTGGACCCTTCTTCAGAAATGGTGAAGGGGAAGGGGATTCTGAAATAAATAGGGAGAGAGGGGGAGGCGGATGGAAGATGGATAAAGGAGCAGATAGGTGGAGAGGAAACAGACAGGTCAGGGATGCGGGGATGGAGCCAGTAAAGGTGAGTGTAGGTGGGGAGTTGGGTGGGGGTTGGTCAGTCAAGGGAAGATGGACAGGGATGAGGCCGGTAGGTAGGAGGTGGGGGTGGGGGTTGAGGTGGGAGGAGTGGATAGGTGGGAGAAAGGACGGACAGGTTAGGGAGGGTGGGGATGAGCTGGGCTGGTTTTGGGATGCAGTTGGGGGCGGGGAGATTTTGAAGCTCGTGAAGTCCACATTGATACCACTGGGCTGCAGGGTTCCCAAGCGAAATATGAGGTGCTGTTCCTCCAGCCTTCAGGTGGCATCATTGTGGCACTGCAGGAGGCCCAGGATGGACATGTCGTCCAAGGAGTGGGAGGGGGAGTTGAAATGGTTCGCGACTGGGAGGTGCAGTCATTTGTCATGAACCGAGCGTAGATGTTCCGCAAAGTGGTCCCCAAGCCTCAGCTTGGTTTCCCCGATGTAGAGGAGGCCACATCGGGAACAGCAGATACAGTATACCACATTAGCAGATGTGCAGGTGAACATCTGTTTGATGTGGAAGGTTTTCTTGGGGCCTGGGATGGGGGTGAGGGGGGAGGGGGGAGGTGTAGGGACAGATGTAGTACTTCCTGCGGTTGCAGGGAAAAGTGCCGGGGGTGGTGGGAAGTGTGGAGTGGACAAGGGAGTCACGGAGAGAGTGGTCCCTCCGGAAGGCAGGTAAGGGTGGGGAGGGAAAAATGTCCTAGGTAGTGGTGTCAGATTGCAGGTGGCGGAAGTGGCTGAGGATGATGCGTTGGATCCGGAGGTTGGTGGGGTGGTACGTGAGGATGAGAGGGATTCTGTTTTTGTTGTCATTGCGGGGAGGGGGTGTGAGGGATGAGTTGCGGGAAACACGAGAGATGCGGTTGAGGGCGTTTTCGACCACTGTGGAGGGGAAGTTGCAGTCCTTGATTGCTTTTTCTCTTAGCACTCATTCATTTAGTGCCCATCTGCATGCTCACAGCATCCATGCCTTACCATACATGCTGGTGCTTCAGCCAGAGCCAGAGGAAATCAGTACTGCTGCACTGAGGTGCTCTTTAACACAGACACACAGTCAGGCTGCTTTCCATGCTTGTCAATAGTGATCTGTCTTGCAGAGGGGCTTTTTGATGTACAGCACACTGAGATATCAAGTACACAGCACGTGCCAGCTGCCAGTGTGTCAAACACACCGAACATTTATTCAACCAAATAGACATGTCGGAAAGTAGCTCAGGGCCACCAAAAGTGGTGAAGAAGTCAAGGCTGAGGGGTAAGTTGAGATACGTTTAAAGGTGAGAACAGGGATAGTGAAAGAGAAACTCAAAGTGTGTGGGGAGTGGTGGAACAGCATTGGAGGGCATGGTAAACTACAGCAGTGGATTTATTGGCAGTGAGCACTATTGTGACAGTGTCAATAATATGGTGGTTATAGTAGGGTCAGTTTGATGGGTGGAAGCATGTGATCCATGTCTGCTGAACACTAGGACATTGTAGAGGCATGAGTACATGAAGAATGCATTCATATGGAGAGCATAGAGAGGAAAATAGCAGGCATCATTAGGATGTTATGTTAATGTTCAGGAAGCAGGAAGGACAGTTAGAGGCAAAGTTCAATGCAGTGAGTCTCCACATGGGAAGCATGGGCTGTTGGGTTCAAGCAAAGTAAAAGGGACATGGAGGTTCTGAAGGTATAGCAGTTGATGGAGTGAAGCCCGATGCTGGTTGTGTCCACTGTGAGCTGCATTCCCTACCATCACTTGGCTAACCACAACTGGAAAATCAGTGGATCAATATCTAGGGTGGTTGGACTCTGTCAGTTTGATGGTTGAAAGCAAGTAATTCATATCTGCTGGATACTAGAACAATGTAGGGCCATGAAAACATGAAGCATGCATTTGCAAACTCCAGCTGCATTTAATTTCCATTCATTTCTTTGTCTATTTACAATGGACATGGAATGAGCATGCTTAGAGTTCAAATGCTGGCCAAAGATAAATTGCATAATCCCATTGGTGTTTGCAAATCTAGCATTGTGATGCAGAAATTAGTTAAAATGACTTAAGAAGAAGTGTGTGCTGGCTAAAGCATCCCATTGCTTATGAACCTTCCCAGGGTGCTGTGACACAAGAGAAACATTGTTCATCTTCTATGTATTGCAATAAGGGTTGCATTGAAAAGTTGAATACTGATATTGATCCAAGATGGGAAAGGGGCCAAAGTGGAGCAGGCACTCGCTTTTGGTGTAAAGTGTTGGTTACTCAGCCAAAATTGAGTGCATGCTGTGACCAGGGCAGTGTTGAAGCTGAATGTAAGGTTCTTGAAGATGCAGTTCTGCCACTTAGACCAATCTAGAGGGGAGTCACATCCTCACATGCTGTACATTGCATAATTGGAGGCGACATGATAGATGCTGAGGAACTGGGGGAATAAGAGCAGTCTTTCAGGGAGGAGGATGAGGGAAAAAAGGGGCACTCCTTTTGCACTTAAGCATGACACAGCTTAGCAGAAGATGACAACAGGATACAGCAGAACATCATAAACTGTGGAACAGTCATTGGTCATGATGCCAGCATACGTTTTACATTATGAGGTGAATAGCAGCTTTTATTGGTTTTGTCTGTGTTTGCTTTTAGTTTTTGGAAATAAAACACATGTTAAGAATTGCCTGATTGCTTGCCTACATGTGATGCTCCCCCACTGGACAATGACAAGATGGGCATTGGAGACAGGGTAGTTAGTGGCCATGGAGAGAGGGCATTTAGATGGATGTAACTAAGGGCAGGCAAACTATCTGGTATGGTGGTTAAACAGTAACTAAATTGAGAGAAGAGGACTGTATGTGTGAGGGACTGTCAGTCATGTGACTTGAGCAGTGTGGCCTTTTAAATATGACGCAGCCACAAGGGATGCCAGTCTTTTGCTGGAACTTTGATGAGTGGAGATTGTTCCTGGAATGGCATGTGGTAAGATAGGGAAAGAATCAGGCGAGTGAGATGCCATTGGGATGGGTAGATAATTAGCAAGGGGAGTTTGGTAAGATACAGCGTGTATTCTCTCTAGTCCTTGCGGCAAGAAACCTTCCAAAAAACCTCAACACAACTGGCACTTGACCAAAAAATGTGAAATTCAGCCCACTTTCTCCAATTAATATACTTAATTTCCAATCTGGACCCAGCTGTAGTTCTGCTCAATTTGCAAGTATGCTTTCATTTTTGACTCTAATGATTCAAATTGTGTCTCATATTGTGTTTCACAGCTGATATTTCTGCTTGAACTTTAATCCATAATTAATCAGGAGGGAATAGCAGTGCTGTCCAACATGTCTGCTTCTGATCCTAGCTGACATTTGTGGTCAGATTATTTAATATATTGCCAATGGGTTCCTGCTGTGACTTCTGTATCCAGAAGGGAGATTGCCCTCACATTTTATGGACACTGGTTTCAAGGACTGATCCCAAACTTCTTACTTTATTTAAAAATATTGTCATTGTAATTGATTGCCTAGGCTTTAAATATCAAATACCTCAGGTGATCATAACAATCCCTTCCTGTAACTCCTAACAGAGGATCTCTACATTTCATAATAGAAAAATGATAAGTTTGTGTTAACTAAAATTTGTTGCAAATGATTTTTAATGAATATTAAAATGACTTAATGTGACCTTGATTTTATAATAATGTCAACAGTATTCAGCAGAGTATAGACAGTATCGGCCAAAACAATGCTTGTGAGTTTTTCTTTTTTCAGCTGAAGAGGATTATTTGAAGTATAATTTAAGGTAGTAGCACCCTTGACTCTGGGACTGAAGGTTCAAATTCTACTTCAGACAGATGAGCATCTAATTTCAATGCAGTATTGAGGGAGTGCTACATTGGTGGAAGAGATGTTAAATCCAAAACCCATTTGCTGTTTCAAGTGGATAGAAATGATTGTCAAGAAATAGATTATCTGGTCAATTTCTCATTGCTGTTTTGGGAACTTTTCTGCGTCAAAATCATTGCTACATTTTCTTACATTAAAACAGGGACTACACTTAAAAGGTATTTCATTCACTGTAAGATGCTTTCAGTTGTTCAGAGGTAGTGAAGGGCTCTGTATAAATGCAAGCTCTTTTCTCATAAATACAGAGATGAGGAAAGGTGAATGAGGAAAATATAGATTAACGAAATAGACAGAGAGCAAGTTATATAAATCAGATACTTTTCATTTCAAATATCTGGGATTTTATCCCAGGGCTTTATTTTCACACCATGGGAATTAGTATTCATTTTCAAATACTCATCTTAAATTACAAATATATCAATTTCAGAATACCTTTAAACATGTAGAATTAGAAGATTTGTTGTTCACAGTATAGATAATTAATCTTAAACTGAAGAGTTAATCATCATCATCGTCATCGTCATTATCATCGTCATCATCATCATCATCATTGTCATCATCATTATCATTGTCATCGTCATCATTGTTATTGTCATCATCATCATCATCATCATCATCATCTTCTGTATTGACTTTTCCTGAGAGAACATCATGGAGCCATTCTTCTAGTTCATCAGTTGATGGTAGATCATCATCATCTTTAATATCCATCCAGACACTGTCAGCCTATAAGATATTAGATGTGAAAATCAGTGCTAAAGCACAATCAATTATACATCAATCAAGAAAATTATAAATTATTAACTTCAGGAACATGCGCATAAATACAAATATTGTCATATATGTATCTGAAAATGCTACATGAAATCCTACAATCATACCTACATTGATTAGGAATAGAAATGGCTATGAATAAATCCATCAGGAAATCTCATTAGCAGAAAATAGAATAATCTTCAAATAAATCAGCAAAAGTTATTCATCAGAAAGAGACCGGTTCCAATTAGGAAAAGAGAATTCTAAAATGTACAGGAAATATTGAGGCTATGGGCCAGATTTTCCAGTGAGTGGCAATTTCACACAGATTACCCCTGCAGTTAATCTCTTTTTTACAAAAGAAGAGAGCTCTGTATTTCAGAGAGGAGATTCAGCACAGGTTTCTTAATTCCATTCTGGCAGTTCTTTCGTAATGCAGAACTATCAGAGGAAGGCAAACCATGTCACCTTTTCACAGCAGTCAGACACTGTAATTTGAAATTTAAAAGCCTTGACAGACACTTTGACAGATGTTATGGTGCTAAGAGGGCTGGATGCCAGATCGGTGGTGAATATGGTGCCTGGCAAGTGCACTAAGGGGGTAGGTGCCAAGAAAGTAAGGTGTCTGCTAGGCACGGGTAGGGTACTGGGTGATAGGATGCCAGATGGAGTGCAGGGAAGGTGTCAGGGTGCCTGGTGACAAAGGGGCTAATAAATATTTAGGATAGGTCAGGTTGGGCTGGTCCTGTGGGGCATGGAGAGGATAGGTGTTGTGTCTGGGTGTGAGTGGTCTGAGGGTTGTAGATGGTGTAAGTATGGAATCAGTTTAATATTTACTTAGGTGTTAGCCTATGTATTTAATAATATATACTTTCCTGAGTAACTATTTCACTTAATTTCATTTGAACCATCCAAATTCTCCAATTTTAATGGAAACTTTTGTAGGGTTCCAAATGTAGTGGAATTGCCCAGTGGAAGGTTCAATTTCCTGGACGATTCCTTCACAGAGTACTCCAATGGCATTCCACAGAGTTCCCATCCTCAACTCCACCTATGTCCATATAACAATTGATTGGCCAACAGTAAATGTGCCCCAATGTTCTATTGATGTATTAGGTGCAAGTCCTTTTCTGACCTGCAGGGCACTAGCTGGAGCTTTTGATGACTTCACTATGTGGTGTGGTTGACCATCTGACAACAATTCAATGGATTTCACTACTGGCACCCAATTGTTTTGCTTCCTTTCATTGCATTGGACTTTTATGCAGGGATTAGAGAAGTGGGGATTGTTCTAGAGCACCTTCACCTGAAGAGAAATTAGGTTTTTTTCAGTTATTCATGGAACATGGATCTTGCTGGCAAGACCAACATTTATTGCCATCCCTAAGTCCTCTAGTGAAGGTGGTCATGTAGCACTTTTTTAAGGCATTTAGTCCATGGGGTGAAAGTACTCCCACAGGACAGTTAGATAAGGTGGCCCAGTAATTTGATGTAGCAATGATGAAGGAATTGCAATATATTTCCACATCAAAACTCCATGTGACTAGAAGGGGACTTGGAAGTGGTGATATTCCCATTTGCTTTTGCTCTTGTTCCTCTGGCCAGTAGGGATATGCATTTGGGAAATGTTTTTGTGAGCTGCAGTGAGTAAAGATGTATACATTACAGCTACATTGCAGCAATGTTGGAGACAAGGAATGTTTCTAAGATAATGGAGAGGTGCCAATCAAGTGGCCTTCTTTGTCCTAACTGAGATTGAGATTTTTGAGTGCTATAGCAGCTGCACTCATCCAGCTAAGTGAAGTCTACTGCATCACACTCCTGGCTTGTGCTTTACACATGAAACAGCTTTGGGGAGTCAGGAGGTGAGTCAATCCCCACAGAATACCAAACTGTCATTGTAGAATTGATGTGGCTGATCCAGTTAAGGTTATGGTCAATGTTGAACCCTAGGTGCTAACGTGTGTTGATGGTGGGGATTTGGCAATGGTATTGCCAAAGAATATCATGGGAAAGTGGTTAGATTCTCTTAGAAGCAGTCATTGCCTGACACTTACGTGACATGATTTTTTACTTGTCATTTATCAGTTCACAATTTAATCCTGTCCAGGCCTTGCCATCTACGGACACAGACTGCTTCTTCACATGAGGAATTGTGAACAGAACTGAACAATGTGTAAGCATCAGCAAATATCCCCACTTTTGACTTTATGACGGACTGAAAGTCATTAATGAAGCAGTTTAACATGGTTGATCCAATGACACTGCCCTAAGGAACTCCTGCAGTAATGACATAGAGCAGATGTGATTAGGCTCCAACTGCCAAAACCATCTTCCTTTCTGTTAGGTATGTCTCAAGCTAGTGTAGAGGTCTTGTCTTTAACTCCTACTGACTTCAACTCTACCAGGGTTCCTTGATGCCACACTTGGTCAAATACTGCTGGAACATCAAAGGCAGTCATTCTTACCTTACCTACGGAGATCACCTCTTCCATTCATGTTTGGACCAAGGCTGTCATAAGACCTGGTACTGAAAGGTCTTAGTGGAACCCAACTTCAGCATCAGGTTTTTAGTGAATAGGAGAAGGGTGATATAATAGTAATGTCCATGGTCTAGTAATTTAGGATCCCTGGGCACAAGGGTTCACATACCACCATGGCAGATGATGAAAGTTAAATGCGATAAAATATTTTTAAAAGATAGAATTAAGAACAGAGTCTAGCCTAAAAGTGAGCATGTAATTGCCGTTAATTGTCAAAAGAACACATTTGGTTCACTGAGATAACAAGGTGTAGAGCTGGATGAACACAGCAGGCCAAGCAGCATCAGAGGAGCAGGAAAGCTGACGTTTCGGGCCTAGACCCTTCTTCATCCTGGCTGGTTGAAAATGCTTCAGCCTTATCTTTGCCCACAAATGCTAGTCTCAACCATCTATCTGCATGGAACCTCCTCTTTTCATTGTTTAATCATACATCATTATTCATGACCAGATAGCTCAGGATTGCAGACTTTAGATTTGATCTGTTGGTTGTAAGTGTAGTCTATAGAAAGCTACTCTGCAGGTTATTGGGCATGTGCTGTACCTTAATGTGGTTGCCACCAGGTACATCTGGTACAGTTCTTGACATGTTTTACAATGTTCCTCACTCATCAGATAACGAGTGAGTGAAGGAGATTCTGGGTCAAGAGATTACAGATTGTGGCGGGATACAATTTTGCTGTAGTGGTTGACCCTCGGCACATCACAGGTGCCCAGTTTTGAGATTTCTTCTAAATTGAACCCTTTTATCATGATGGTAGTGCCACACAAAATGTGTTCAATGTAAAGATGATTTCACCTTCACAATGCCGTGTAGTGGCCAATTCCACAAGTACTGTCATGGTGAGGTGCAGCTGTGAAAGGCAAACTGATAAGGATCGGGTCAAGAAGGCATCTCCTTTGTTGTGCTTCTCAGCACCTACCACAGGCCCAGTCCAGGAGCTATGCCCTTCAAGACCCAGCCAATCTGATTAGTCCCAATTCAGTATTCATAACAGGGTGAATGGTCGATCTCCTTTTGTGCTGTATTCTTCCAGTAGTAGCTTTAGGAAGTGATCAATAAATAAAAATGAATCCTGGTCTTTTTTTTTGCACTCACAGTCAAAAGTCACCCACGCCTTTCCTCCAAAATATCTCCCACTATTATAACTGTGATTTTAAAATACGTGTTTCATTAATGCTAATTGGCTATAACATGATTGATGAATAGTGGACGCTGTTTGGATAACGCAAACTTTCTGCTGTACAGGTATAGCGATTTCCCTATAATGTGATTTTCTATAGCACAAGGTCACTCAAGAACACAATTATTGCATTATAGAAGAAATACCTGCAGCTGTACTTTCATTTAAAACACATGACTTGCATTCGTCTAAAGGTTTAAGTATGTACACACATTTCCTTGCAAATCTATATGTTGCACAGTATCTAATCCCAGCAATACACATACGTATAAGTTTATGTGAATAGTGAAATTGAAAAACACCATCACATTCTTACATAAAGTTGTAAAGAAATAGATGTTGAGTAAATATGTCGTGATATCCATCTACTGTCACAAATGGTATACAAAATCACAATTAAAACAAAGCATGCACACATAAAATAAGAACATGCACTCTGACAGTTCTGTAGATCATGGTAAAATATATTTATATGGAAAAGAATACAAGAACACCAGACCAATGACTGGATTTTGCTGATACTACTTACATCAGTGACATTAACTATTCCAATCTGAGGCTTGTGAAGGTCAATCTTGAAAGTTTTCTCCCAGTAAGTAAACAGCTGAAATAGACACAAAAGGAATGTAAGATTAAATTACTGAAATATAATTCCTACCTACTTGTTACTTTGTAACATGTGTACTCACCAGTGGGAAGTCATCTGGGTCAATCCACACAATGCTTAGATCTGGATTATTAGTGTTTTCTCTTGCTACCTCTTTTAAAATTGACAAAAATTCATAACCATCTGTAAAGGAATAGAAATTCCTTAGTTATCTCCATGCATGTGACCAAGAAGTACTCAGATGAACAAATATTCCAGAGATATCAATTCACTTCTAGCTGCCTATGAAATACATTTTTGGTGGATTCAGCATCAACTTTATGGGATAGATACTATACCTTGAAATAACATCGTTAAAATTAGTGAATAGACATTTAATACATTTGCATGGTCTTCTGCAATTTGAATGCCAAAGTACACGAATGAGCACTCGAAATGTCATACCATTCAAGGCTAATGGCCAAGTGTAAAATGTAGGATTAGTCAGACTTGATGGGCTGAAGGGCTTCTTCTATGCTGCATAACTCTAACACAGGAAGAGTGGAACTCTATCCAATCTCTCCAGCCTGTTCAGTCATTCAATTTAATCAAGGCTGATCTATTTAGCCGCATTTCATCTATACTCCTTGATACTCTTCTCCAACAAATATCTGATATTTTTTGTCTTAAAAGTTTCAAATTCCGCAAAATCCACTTGAAGTAGATGTTTTTCAATGCCATTATTAAGTACGCTATCAATATTATTCCATTGCTGAACATATTCAAGGCTACAACAATTACTGCGACAACTACAACTTCAATTCATTTAGTGTTTTTAACACAGCAAAATTTTTATAGGATAATTATGTTAAGCCTGCTATCTACATTCTATTATTACAGACAGCAATTTCCAGTCTAATTTGAATAAAAGCCCCAGATTTCCTAGAGAAACACAGGTATATCTAGGTGAAAATCTCGCAATGCTTAAATGATAGGGATCTGCTGCAGGGCAGGGGATACTTGGCAACATATCTCTCTGTTATACCTTTTCTCATCTCATGTTAGTATTATTTGTGCAATTTAAGCTTCCCTTTTTTTTGTTAAAGCACTTACTTGTCAGTTCACATCTGTGAATGTGTTTTTCCTAATTCGTTTTTAAATGTTGTATAGTTGAAAGAACTGATGATTTTTTGACGTAAGGTCTGCTGGTTAACTTTCCTGTACTCTTTCACAGATGCTGTCTGACTCAATGAATGGTCCAGCACTTTTTCTTACACTTTCAGTCTTTCAGAATCAACATTTTTATTTTATGTCTACATTAGTGTCAGCTGATCCAGAAAAAAGTTTTAATAATAACTGAGTGTTTATTCAATAACATGAAGACTTCCTTTGAGCAGTGAGGTTGGAAAATTGTAAGCTGATCCTTTGCAAAAAGGTTTATATTTTCAAGTTTCAAATGTAAGATATCTCCCAGATATTGCCATATAAGGTTTCACTCACATTCCTCAATAATGAAACATAACTCAGTGATATGAATAGAAAAAGAAACCTTTCTACAAGAATCATTCAGAGCAAGGCAACATTGCCAAAAAGAATACACAGCGATGCATACGAAAAATTGGAAAATGATACTCAATTGGCAGAATACAAGAAAAACAAACACTCAAGTATCACATTTCACCATTAGTTTTCAGGAATCTCATAGATGGAGTTTATTTTCTTGTGAGAATTCTTGCCACAACATTTGCAGGGTGCGACCTCTGCCAGGCCCTGGCGCTCATCACTTTTCAGCCATGGGTTTCAAATATCCGCAGGCAGGGCAGGGCACAGCAGCTGAAGAATACATTTTATTTTTAAATTTACTGCGTAAAGGGAAATTAATTGATTACCCTTCGTTCAAGAGCTGAGGTAATAAAATTTCCAAACTTCCCACAAAGCTGTATGTCATTAACACATTTGTGTTCCTTGTGTCTGGTGTTGCTATGGCATTGACGGCAGAAAATAGATGGGATTACATAATGTCATCATTACTGCATCATCTGAATGTACATTCCCTCCTTGGCTTTCACATCTGGCAGAAAATCCCACAAGTAGGATGATGCTGCAGGAAGACAGCTGAAGAGCTCCAAGCCAGAAATCCTGCTTCCTGCCTATCCTACATCTTCTCAAAATCAGGCAAATGTGATGATTGATTTAAATAGATACTGGAATGGAATTATTTAAAAAATGTATCAACTATTGTCCATTTAAACAGATATCTTACATTTGAACCTTGAAAATATAAACCGTTTTGAAAAAGGATCAGCTTACAATTTTCCAACCTCACTGCTCAAAGGAAGTCCTCATGTTATTGAATAGACACTCAGTTATTATTAAAACTTTTTTTTGTTTAGCTGCACTAATATACACATAAAATAAAAATGTTGATTCTGAAAGTCTGAAGCTGTAAGAAAAAGTGCTGGACCATTCATTGAATCAGACAGCATCTGTGAAAGAGTACAGGAAAGTTAACCAGCAGACCTTACGTCAAAAAATCATCAGTTCTTTCAAATATACAACATTTAAAAGCTTCAACTGTATTGAGATATTCACTTGAACTGAAGGAGTCTGTTCCCATGCTATATGACTCTATGACTTGCATTGCCACAGCTTCCAGTGCTACGGGCCAAAATGGGAAACAGATTAGTGTCGTCACATCTTTGTTGACTGGTGTGGACACACAGTGGGCCTCCTTCTGAGCTGTAAACAATTATGAGTCTCAGTCAGCATGGTAATGTCAAATAACCACAGGCAATATGACAAGTCATTGGACTTCAAAGTGATTCACTAGGCTGAATTTTACCAGAAATTGGTTAAGGGTCAATCTTGGGCAGTTTCATGGAATGTCTTACCACAAAAATCTAACAAATTTCTCACATTATCTTCCCAACTCCACCTCCTTAGTAGTTATCCACCATGCCCTTAGGGCACCTTGCCTTTCATATTCTATCACTTGCCACTGCTAGAGTATCCCTGGATTCCTGGCACCAATGTCAGATTTACAAGGTAGTTGTAAACTGGGTGAATTGCTGACAGTCTGGAGCTGCTCTGTATAGTTTGAGTCGTTTGCCCTGGACATGTTAGACAAAAGAGAATCAGTGCCCTGCTTTGAGGACAGGGACCAGAAGGCCCTGGTGGATGAGGTGGTGCACAGGAGGGCCATCCTCTTACCCCAGGCCCAGCAAAGGAGACCACACCACCGGGCCTTGGCTTGCCTGGTCCAAGCTACCACTCAAGTCAGTGAAGTGTTGACAGTTTAGAGAAACACCCAGTAGTGCAGGAAGATTAATATTAAATAAATCTAAATCCAAAGAAGGTCAATGACTTTCTCTGCTCCTTGATGATAAATGCCATCATCATCTATCTTCTACCTCATAATTGCTCTGTCTTTGCTACTGTACCCACCTCCAACATACTTTACCATTCTTCTCCAACCCACTCTCATCCCCCAATCCCCACTGTCTCTTAATCCTGCAACCCCTCTGCACTGCCTACACACCCACCCAGGGGTGTGAAGTTAAACTAATGGTTTAGATATGTGAGAAAAATAAGTGATGTGCCACATGGCTTTTTTCTGTGTTATAACAGGATCAGCTTTAATAGAATTTACCAGGGTCTTCTTCTTCAGCAAAAGCAACAATCTGGATCCCATCCATATCATCCTCCTATGTAAAAGAATTACAAATTTGTTACTTTATGAGGGATTTGTGGATGTTCCTGAATGTTAAAAGGAAGAACTTGTATATACATAGTTGCTTTTATATCTTTAGTACATGTCAAAATGACTTACATGCAACATATTTTTCTAAAGTGGAGTCATTGTTGCTAGATTGATAACTGCAACACCAATTTGCATACAAGATCCCATAAACAACACAGAGATAAATGACTAGTTAATCTGCTTTTGTGGAGGAATAAGTTTTCACTTTGCTCTTTGCATTGTGTAGTATGATGGGATCTTTTGTATCAGCATAGGGAGTCAGGACTTTATGTTAAATTTCAGATATAAGATGGTAATTGCAAAAATGCAGTACTCCCTCAATACTGAAATGGTGTCAGCATGGATTAAACACCCAAGTTCTACAGAATGGCATGAACACTCCTAACATGATTTAGCGACAACTCTGCCACCACTGATCCATGTTAAAATTATAATCTCATATTCTATGATACCTTTGAGTACATGTTGAGCCTGAATTTTTCCAAGAAAGGGACCACACTCTTGAGTATCTAGTTCTTCTAATCTGTGGCTTCTAATGTGTTCAGCCTAGTCACCCTCCTCCTTTGCTGTCTTATGTATTATTGACGCCTCTTTACTCACCACCTTTCTCATTGAGAAAATAAGCCAAATTTATTTAAATTTAACAGTTTCTCATCCTTGCTAATTACACGAAATGTGATTTCAGGTTTGTCTTACCCAGGTCTCAAACACATCCTCTGGACGCAGTTTCCTGAGGGTTGATCTAAAAACAGAACAAACACAGCTTTAAATTAGTTACTATGTTCCACTGTTAAAGATTTTTCAACCTGCCCCTCCTTGCTTGTATTCATAAAGGACTGACCTTACTTTGGATCATATTTTGTATATTGTTTTGATACTGACTTGATGACTTTTTTTTAGGAAAATCAAAAATTGACACTGATGCCCACCCAGAACCTTGCAATAATGGCCTAGCCAGGAAGAGATGGAATAGATGACCATCTGCATGACCACTGCACTATATAGCAGTGATATTTCCTTGGAGTGCCAGTGCTCCTGTCACTTAAACAGATTTGAAGCTCACACAGATAATGATAACAGCAAATGTGCATTCTCATTTAATCCAGATTACTTACAAACATATGAAATATCAGCAGAAGTAGGCTATTCAACCCCTCAAGTTTGTTCTGCCATTCCATAAGATCCTGGCTGAGCTGTTTGTTTTACAAATACCACATTCCCATCTACGCCTGATAATCTTTGATTCACTGCCTAACAAAAATCTATCTACCTCTTCCTTTAAAATATTTTATGACCCCGCTTCCTCCCTCTCCAGAGGCAGAAATTTCAAAAGTCACGTAATCCTCTGAGACAGCACTGTCAGCACTAAAAGGTGACCTTCACTTTTAAAACAATGCCCCCGAGTTCACAAGAGGATACATCCTTTCCACATTCACTTTAGAATCTTATCCACTTCAATCAAATCACCTCTCAATCCTTTTAAACTCTAGTGGGAGCAAGGCCAATCTGTCTAACCTATCCTCATAAGACAAGCCACTTATTCCAGGTATCCTAGGTAATGAAATCAAATCATAACAGCTATTGTTATGTACCTTTTATGTTCTTGAATAAATTCTACGATTTCTTCCTCTGAGTGGGGTTTATCAGGAATAGTGACCGAATCATCCATGAAAGGCTCATAAAAATCCACCTCATTCATCTTCAGTGAGAGTTTCTTTGCGACCTACCCAGAGAGTGTATCAATGAAGAAAATGATGAATATAGAATGATAAACTTAAACAGACCCCACATAATACTGTAAAGAGAATTCTGCCAGAAACAGCACGTCAATCCAAACGATAAAAAAGGGCAAAATATGTATTTCACAACAAACTAACATAGGCCCCCCGCTTGTAATTTAAAAACAACACCAAACAAAACAAGTTTACACGTTTAAGTAGAGACTGGAATTCCTGACATAGCTATATGATACAAATTAAGCACATTGAGAAAGCAATTATAATTATTTTGTTTTCACTTATAACCACAGCTGCATTTCTGTTTTAAATGTTTCCCTTTGGAAGCAGATAACTTTATTAAATTAATTAACATTCATTATGAAATGCTGAATGGATAGACTTTATTTCACAACATTATTACTACAGGCAGTACCCAGATTGCAAAAGGGTTCTGTTCTGGAGTCCTTTCCCAAGTCAATTTTCACACAAGTCAAAGTACAATGCAGGACAATGCAAAGCAGGCATTCGTAAGTACAGGAAAAGGTCATTCCTAAATTGGGGCCCACTGCAGTTGCTTGCATCACTGCAATGGAGGACGCATTCTCTTCATGGAAGTTAGTTCTAAAAATCTGAGAAAACATCACATAGCAGATCCAACAGAAGTCTAATAAAGAAGTTAAATACTGTAGATGCCAGAAATCTGACATTATCAAACCTACTGAGGTTTAAGTCTGAACCTTGTGTTTCTCATTTTTGCTTTTGGACCACAACAGGTCATTATTCTGCTATTCACACCTTCTCTGGCCCCACCTTTTGTCTCTTGTCCCTTTATCATTTCCTTTGGCTATTCCCATCAATTTGTAATTGTCATACAAGGTTTCCCATCCTCTGCTCTATCAAAGACCTGATTATTTTTGCATTGTTTCAATCTTCCCACTTCTTCTCCTTAAAAATGATTGCATTTCTAATTTTTCCCAGTTCAACTTAAAGGTCATGACCTGAAATATTCATTTTGTTTTTCTCTCCACCAATATTGTCAGTTGAATATTTTCACAATTTTCACAAATCAACATGGTCTTACTAAAGGGAATTTGTGTTTGACAAATCTATTGGAATGTTCTGAGGATATAGGGAAGTCAAAGGGAAAACTTGTAATAAATGCAATATATCTGTGTTTTTAATAAAAGCATTTGATGAAATGCCAAAGAATAGGCAAGATAAGAGATCATGGATTTGGTTTAATATGTTAGCACAGTTAGAGGATTGGATAACAGACAGGAAGCAGATAGTAGACATAAATGGGGCATTTTTAAAATGGCAAGTAAGAATGGTGACATACCACATGGATTAGTGCTGGGGCCTTTGCTATTTCCAATCTATGTTCGTGACTTAAATGAAGAGACAGAGACTACTATGTTTAAATTTGCTGATGATATAGAACTAGTGCAAAGGGAAACTATGGGGAGGACACAGAAAAGCTGCAAAGAGACATAAAGAGGTGAACTGAGTATAAACAAGATGGTGGACGGATTGTAATAAAGGGACCGATGAAGTTATTTCTTTTGGTCATTCAGCTGGAAAGGCAGAATATTTGTAAGTGTGAAACTTGTAAGTAAACTCAAAATACTGCAGATGTCGGAAATATGAAATAAAGACAGCAAGTGCTAGAGAAACTCAGTAGGTCTGGCAGCATTTATCTAGTTCTGAAGAGTCATAATGAACTTGAAATGTTAACTCTGTTTTTCTTTTCACAGATGCTGCCAGGCCTGCTGAGTTTCTCCAGCGTTTTCTGTTTTTATTTGAAACTTTTAGGTGTTGTTCAAAGATTGGCGTGCTTGTAAAAGATTGCAGAAAGTCGGCATTCAGGTACAGCAAGCGAATAGGAAGCTAAATGGTACCTTAGTCTTTGTTACAAGGGAAACAAACAACAGAAATAAAGAAGGTTTGTTAAATTTGAGGGGGTTTGGTGAGACCACATCTGGAGGACTGTGCGTAGTTTCCATCTCCAGATTTAATAAAAAAAACATTTTTTTAGCACCCTGTAAGGAAGGCCAATTGATTTTCCTCTTTTTAACACCCTCTCCATTGCTATCACATTCTAAGTGTACTAGAGCATAGTACGCTAGGAAACAGCAAATTATCAAGGTTTTCTTCAGTAAAAGAAAGAGGAATTCCCTAAAAAAATATAATAAACCATGACATCAAACACAATAAGGGTAATAAATATAAAACAGTGAGTAACTGGTACAGGCATGGAGAAAAATGCAATTCAGAAGTCCTAGAGTCCTTGAGGTGTTATAACCTGAGACCACATTATTTGTTGTCTGTTATTCTCATGAAGTTTGAAGTTTGTAGGTATCTTTAAGGTCTTAATGAAGGCTGTTTCCCCGGATAGCTTTTATACCAGGTACTGTTTCCTGAGATGATGAGAGAACTGGCAGTGAGAGAGAGGGAGAGAGATAGAGTTTTCCAGCTCTTGCTTCAAATCCATGTTTCTTTCTATTCCACACAAAAACAGCTGTTCAAATGATATTTCAATGTGTATTCCTGAGTCTGGCTCAATTTACTTTCCAAGCGGGCTAACTGGTAGGTGAGACTTTCATTTCTCAACACATGAAAATTATCATTAAAATGTGAATTAAAACATGAAATGCAAATTTCTTGGCATTGACTCAATTGCCTGCATTGAGTTTCAATAAAATGGTAATTTCAGTTCCAATGGATTAATTAACTGTACAAGATGCTGGTGAGATCACAACTGGAATACTGTGATCAGTTTTGGTCCCTTTACTTAAGGAAAGTTTTGATTTCATTGGAGGCACTTCAGAGAAGATACACTACGATGATCCCTGGAATACAGGAATTGTCTTATGAGCAAAGGTTAGACAGGTTGGGACTATACTCATTGAAATTTGGAACAGTGAGAAGTTATCTCATTGAAACATATAAGATTCTGATGGAGAGAGATAGTAGGAAGAAGTTTCTGAAGAAGGGTCTAGGCCCGAAACGTCAGCTTTCCTGCTCCTCTGATGCTGCTTGGCCTGCTGTGTTCATCCAGCTCTACACCTTGTTATCTCAGATTCTGATGGAGCTTGACTGGATAAATGTTGACAGGATAATTCCCATCAATGGCATAATCTTAGAACAAAGAGGTGCCAACTAAAGACTGAGATAATGACAAATTTCTTCTCTCAGAGCGCTGAGAGTCTTTGGAACTCCTTGCCACAGAGAACTGTGAGGGGAGTGTCTTTGTTCATATTTAAGGCTAAGATAATAGATTCTTGATCAGCAGGGGAATCAAGGGTTACAGAGAAAGGGCAAGAAAATGGACATGAGGAATGCTGGATCAACCGTGATCCTACTGAAATATACAATATGGGATAGATGCTGGAAGATTGATCAGGGAATCTAAAATGCATGGGCACAGTTTCATTACTCTGTTCCTAATACAATTAGTGGCATTACTATTTCATCAGACTTAAGTTTGTATTTTATAACTAGATCTAATCAGGGTGATAAGTCAAAGTGTTGATCATTTGTGGCTGAGATGAGGAGAAATTAATTCACTCAAGGGGTTGTGAATCTTTGAAGTGCTCTGTACCAGAGCTTATGAATGCCCCATTGTTGAATACAATTAGGGCTGGAATGGATAGGTTTTAGATCTCTCAGGGAACCAAGGGATATGGGAAATAGGCAGAAATGTGAACCCTCAACCCATAAAGTTCAGTGCATGCTTTTTAAAAAACCTTTAGGACAAGGCACCACATGAACTTTGGAGTCTTTTTCAAGTAGCTTTTATCATAAATAGATTTTCCAGGTAGTCCTTATTTACTGACAGAGAAATATGCGGGTTGACATTGACATTAAATAATAGAAATTGAGGTAGATATTAAGGGAGAGATTAAGAAAAACTACAGAAACAGATAGTTAGAAATAGAGATTTAGTCAAACAAAATGATTGAATGAATGGAACAGTAATATAAAGACAAACAATATGACACAACATTGAACTCCTGCAAATAGGGCATTGAAGTTTAGAAAGATTCATTGTTTTAATATTCAAAACAATTTAACTGTTACTAATTAGGGTGGGATGCTGTGAGGGTTGGTGTGGACTTGTTGGGCCGAAGGGCCTGTTTCCACACTGTCAGGATTCTATTCTATGATACTTTAATTAGTGGCAATGGGCTACATGTTAGACTGAAATTTATATTTTTAATTGGATCTAATCAGAGTAATGAGTTAAAAATTGCATGTAGTTCAATATTTAGCTACAAACTGTTTTGTCATTTGGCTTTGCTTTGTGCTGAAACAATGGTTGGCACAACAAATTGCAATGGCATGACAATGTTTTGTTAATTATTTCCTAAAAGCACACACTAAACCAAGTCATCCTAGCAGCCCGTGGAGCAGTGAAATAATTAGAGGCAGAAGAATTAGGAATTTAAATACAGAAATAGGTCATTCAGCCTCTTGAGCCTGGTCTGTCATTCAATCAATTTCTGGATCAATTTCTTAATTTCATCCACCCACCTTAACTCCATATCCCTTTACACCATTGGCTAGCAAAAATCTCTAATTGTGTTATCATCCAAGTTTTCTTTGTGGGAGAGTGTCAGGCTTCTACAAGCTTTTCTTTAAACAATGTTTTGAAATATCTCTCCCAAATGGTTCGATTCTGATTTTACCTCCTTGTCTATGACTCCCAAGCCAGCAGGAAACGTTTGTCTCTATCTCTCATATCAACTGCTTTCAAAATCTGAAAAATCTCAATCAAATCATGCTCAATTATCTCTATTCAAGAAAATACAAGTCTCATTTCTGAACTGTGAAATCTCTCGTCAGTATTTCATCTTTAGTGCCTTTGTAACATTCTGGTGAATCTGTGCCCTTCCACGGCTAATATATCCTTATAAAGGTGCACAGGACACTCCACACTACTCCAGATGAAGTGTTGCCACAATCTTGAATGACCAGAAAAACCTTTTTCCAATTATCTTCTAATCCTCCAGTTATAAAGGTTAACATTTCAGCAGTCTTTTTGATTATTTAACCTTTTTGACCTGACTGCTACATTTTAATAATTGAATTCATAATCTTAAACCTCATTGGAACTCTACTGATCTTAGTTTTTCACCATTTAGAATGCAATGGATATATCTTTTTTTGGTCCAAAAAGTGGCAAATTTGGTATTATGGCTAAAAAAAACTGGATGACTCAGCAGGTCTGATAACATCTGTGGGTCATTTCTTGGAACTTCTGAAGAATTATAGTGGATTTGAAACGTTTAACTCTGTTTCTCTCCCCACAGATGCTGCAAGATCTTTTGAGCTTCTTCAATAGTTTCTTACAGCACTGCTGGCTGTTCTTCTGGATTGTAGATATAGCACTGACCCAGGTGGTGACCTCAGACCAAGCTGCCAAGTTCTGGTGGTGTGGCTTCTTCTGACAGTCCCCTGGGACTAGTATTTCGCTCTTCTGAGCCACCCTGTCCACCAGGAACTTCAGGGGACCATCAGGGAATTGCAGCACCATTACCCTTTTCTCTGCCATCTTTAGGATGAATATCTTTGGAATGCCAGTGCTACCTGGGTGTGCACCAGTTTTTTAAAGGTGGCAAAGGTGCCAGAGATACCGGTCTTTTGGTGGATATCCACTAAGTGACAAATTCTTCTGGGAACAGCAGGGTGGTAGAGTGGGGTTACAACTGGGAGAGATGGCTACTACATGGCTGGGGTGGGTAGTTAATGAGGTGAGTTTGGCAAGACAGTGAGAAATCACACTAGACCTCATGGAGAGAAATCCCCATGAAATTCACTGAAACTGACACACAGCCAGAAATAACAGAAGATTCAGCTCTATGAGTCATTTCCTTGACATTCCAGTACATACACAGAATCTGCATATGTACATGAAGTGTTGTGGCAGAAATAAAAGAATCTACTTATTTTATTCAACCTGTTCAGATATCTTATGGCATGCCTCTACAGCAGATGAGACTTTAGCTTGAACCTCTGGGCACAGATAGGGAAATTGCCATCTTGCCAAAAGATGATTGAATTTTTAAAATTCACAAACTACCATAGTGCCATTTGAATCCACATTCATTGGTAATTAAGTGGACCTCATGATTATAAGTCCAGTGATATTGCCACACCACTAGCATCTTCCTTAATAAATTTAGTTTACCCCATTCTCTTCCTTTTACTGACAAACCAATCTCCCAACTAGGTTGATAATTTGCTTCAATTTCATGAGTCTTAATTCTAGCTTTATTTACTCACCCCTTTATTAAAAGTTGCAAAGAACTTGATGTAAGGGTGGAAGTGCTCTGCTGCATCTTCAAAAGCTTTGTAATCTGCATTAGAAGAAGAAGACAAAATAGCGAAAAGAAGAAACAAGGGGAGAAATGTAAATGCGATACTTAGTGTGTTTTGAAAAGATGTGATTTTGTAAGAATATTATAGATCAGCTTCAAAGTTGCATGTTTGTATTCTGAATCCCGCAACAGCAAAGGGTACATTTTGACAAAAGTGGTAAGATTCTGAATGGTGTTGACTAAGATGGATGTGGAAAGGATGTTTCCCCTCGAGGGTCAGTCCAGAACTTGGGGGCAAGCTTTTAAAATTAAGTATTACCCTTTGGGACAGAGAGGAATGGAAATGTTTTCTCTCAGAGGCTTGTGTGACTTTTATACCCTCTGCCTGAGAAGGTGGTGGAAAAGATAGAATAATTTTTAAGACAGAGGTAGATATAATTGTTAGGTGAGAGAATCAGAGGTTATCAGAGGAAACAACAGTATGAAATCATATGTTCTGATTTCAGAACATATCAGCCATGATATTATTGAAGATTTATTTGGAAAGGCAAGGACTGATTAGGGACAGTCAAAATGGCTTTGTGCATGGGAAATCGTGTCTCACTAACTTGATTGAGTTTTTTGAAGACATAACGAAGAGGATTGATGAGGGCAGAGCTATGGACATGATCTACGTGGACTTCAGTGAGGCATTCGACAACATTCCTCATGGTAGACTGGTTAGCGGGTTAGATCACACGGAATACAGGGAGAACTAGCCATTTGGATACAGAACTGGCTCAAAGGTAGGAGACAGATGGTGGTGGACGGTTGCTTTTCAGACTGGAGGCCTGTGACCCGTGATGTGCCACAAGGATCAAGGCTGGATTCACTGCTTTTTGTCATTTAGATAAATGATTTGGAGATGAACATAGGAGGTATGGTCAGTAAGTTTGCAGGTGACACCAAAATTAGAGATGTAGTGGACAGCAAAGAAGGTTACGTCAGAGTACAGCTGGATCTTGATCAGATGGGCCAATGGGTTGAGGAGTGGCAGTTGGAGTTTAATTTAGATAAATGTGAGGTGCTGCATTTTGGAAAGGCAAATCAGGGCAGGGCTTTTACACTTAATGATGAGGTCCTGGGGAGTGTTGCTGAATAAAGAAATGTTGGAGTGCAGGTTCATAGTTCCTTGAAAGTGGAGCTGCAGGTAGACAGGATAGTGAAGAAGGCATTTGGTATGCTTGCATTTATTGGTCAGTGCATTGAGTATAGGAGTTGGGAGGTCATGTTGCGGCTGTACAGGACATTGGTTAGGTCACTTTTGGAATACTATGTGCAATTCTGGTATAGGAAGGCTTTGTGAAACTTGAAAAGGTTCAGAAAAGCTTTACAAGGATGTTGCCAGGGTTGGAGGGTTTGTGCTATAGGGAGAGGCTGAATAGTCTGAGGTTATTTTCCCTGGAGTGTCAGAGGCTGAGGGGCGGCCATATAGAGGCTCATAAAATCATGACAGGCATGGATAGGGTGAATAGACAAGGTCTTTTCCCCAGGGTGGGGTATCCAAAACTAGAGGACACAGGTTTGAAGTGAGAGGAGAAAGATTGAAAAGGGACCTAAAGGTCAACTTTTTCATGCAGAGGTTGGTGCGTGTATAGAACGAGATACTAGAGGCTGGTACAATTACAATATTTAAAAGGCATCTGGATGGGTATATGAATAGGAAGAGATATAGAGAGATATGGGCCAAATGCTGGGAAGTGGGACTAGATTAATTTAGGATATCTGGTTGGCATGGATGAATTGGACTGGAGGGTCTGTTTCCATGCTGTACAACTCTATGACTCTACGGATCTATATCAGGGAATGGTGGAGCTGGCTTGCAGGGACAAATAGCCTAATTCATATGTTTGTATGTAACTTGGTGCATAAAATGGATCATTATTCTAGATTTATTTGAGGAAATCTATTCTTTAATTGAATTTAAGATATCAAGAGTCACGTTTTATAAACCACTTTTAGAAGAAATAATAGCAATCTTCAATTAGCCAATGAAAAGTTAACTTTGGTATCCCTAGATGGTTATGAAATGTTATTTTTCTACTGGCATCATTAGAGAATCATCTAAGCCATTAATGGTAAAATTGCTCCCTCAGTCAATGTGGGCCTGCCTGTGTAGTCCAGACTTAATAGATGAAATGTGTGCAGTAAAGAAGCATGCTATCGTATAACCTGCAGCTGCTTGACATGTTACCAGTGAACATTTCTTCCATTTCAAGTATCCACACAATTGGATTTTGTTTCTCACTATTTCAAACTCAGACAGCCTGTCACACCAGAATCCAACATTTGTCATCCATCTCTAATTCCCCTTGAGACAGTAATGGTTATCTGCTTCCTTGAAATTTTGCAGTCCATGAGATATCAATACACTCACAGTGCTGTTAGGAAGGGAGTTTTAGAATTTTTGACCCAGCAGCATTGAAGGACTGGCAATACAGTTCCAAGTCAGGATGGTGTATGGCTTGGAAGAGAACGTGCAGGTTGGGATATTTCTATTCCTCAGCTGTCCTTGTCATTTCAGGAAGTTAAACTTGCAGGATTGGAAAGTCCTATGGAAGGAGACTTGGAAGTAACAGTTGCGCACCTTCTAAAGGGTACATACAATGACCACTGTGTGCCAGTAATGGAGTTATAAATGCTCAAGGTGGTGGATTTTAGGCTGCCTTGTCCCTGACGGTATTGAACTTTTGAAGTATTGTTGCAGTTGCTCTCATCCAGACAAGTGGAGAGTATGCACCACATTCCGCACTGTGCCTTGTAGATGGTGAATGGCTTCAAGAGTCAGGGGGTAATTTACAAGCTGCAGGTTGTAGCTTCTGACCTGTTCTTGAGGCGATTTGATTATAAGGCTGGTCAATGATAATCTGAAGGATGTTGATAGTAGGGATTCAGCAACAGTAATGCCAGCGAACTTCAAAGGAAAATAATTAGACTCCCCCTGGCTATAGGCAGTCATTGCCTGGTAGTTGTGCGGCTCGAATCTTATTTGCTACTTATCAGCCCAAATCTGAATGTGGTCCAGATCTTGCTACATGTGAGTACTGATCAGTTCTAAGGAATCATAAATGATACTGAAGTCTTTAGATCATCAGCAAACATCCCCATGCCTGGTTTCATGATGGAGGGAAGGTCACAATGAAGCAACTGAAGATGTTTGGGTCTCGAACCACCCTGAGAAGCCCCTGCAGTAATATCCTACAGGGCTGTCAACAACCACACCAACTTCCTTCATGGTAGGTATAATTTCAACCAGTGGAAAGTCTTTTTTTTACTCAAATTCATGACTTTAATTTTTTTTTAATCTCCTTAACATCAACCTTCATCAAAAGCCACTTGGTTGGTCACTCTCATCTCATGTCTGGAATTTGACTCTTTTGTTCATATTTGGACCAGGTCTGCCATGAGATCTGGAGATGAATGCCCTTGACTTAATGCCTCAACTAAAGAAATATGCAGGCATATAAACTATTGTTGCAGCAAATTGATTAATTATTGACTGAGTGCACTGAATGCAACGTTTAAGACATCCAATCATTCCGCAGAACAGATCATTATGACCAAGTTAATTATTCTAATGTTTATACCTGATAATTATTTCCAGCCACAAATTCTCTTATTAAATTGTCATTGTAAACCACTCCAAGTTTAAAGATGTTTTATATGCTACAACTTAACAGGCAGAGTAAGTTTATGTACAAACTTGTGTTTAGATATATTAAGAATACCTTATCAATTGCTATGATGTAGGCACAACTAAATAAGAAATTTTTTTTTTACATATCAATACTTTTGTTGTTTACAAATGGAGAAATTGGTTACTGAGTAAGTACAGGCCAGTCAGTCTAACCTCATGGTGGGCAAATTATTTGAAAAAAATTCAGAGTATTAATTGTTATTTAGAAAGTCATGGATGATTCAAGGACAGTCCAAATGGATACATCGAGGTAAAGTCATATCACACTATAGTGATTACATTTTTTGAAAAGATAACGAGGAAGTAATAGTGTACTTCATGTGAGCTTCATGGATCATCAAACAGCTTTTTATCAAGGTATCATATACAGACTGATCGGAAGAATAAAACCCCATGTGATCTAAGAAAAAGTGGCAAATTGGATCCAAAATGCCTCCAGGGCAGGAAGAAAAGGGTAACAGTCAATGGGTCTTTTTGAGATTAAAAGGCTATTTCCTGTGGTTCTTCACAGGGCTCAGTACTGAGTCCTTGCTTTTTGTTTGTTATCTATCATTCAGATGTGAAATCATGAAGTTTTCAAAGGATTAAAAAATTGGACATGTGGTTTATTATGAAGAAGAAAATGATAGACTGTAGGAAGTATCAATAGACTGGTCAGGTGGGTTAATAAATGTCAAAATGAATTCAATCCAGAGAAGTGCAAAGTACTGCATTAGGGGAGGACAAACAAGACAGGAAAATACACAATAAACTGGAAGATACTGAGAAGTGCAGACAAGCAGTGAGACTTTGAGTGCAAGCCTATAAAGGCAGAAGGACAGGTAGACAATGTGGTAAAGAAGTATAGGGTATACTTTCCTTTATTAGACAAGGAAAGGTTGTCGTGGGAAGGTCTAAAACAATAGTTATTCTAAAGCTAGGGTACTATACTCAATCCTCATCACAGAAGGATTCCAGAAGGAATGTGTTTGCATTAGAGAGAATAAAAAGAGATTTGTGTGAATATGGCAGGGACCCAAAAATGTTAACTAAGAGAAAAGATTGGATAGACTATGGTTGTCTTCTTTGCAACAGGGGATGGTAATGGAAAACTTAATTGAGATGTTTAAAATATTGAGGGGTTCATTTGAAGGGAATTCATGTTTCTGTTAAGAGACAGCCATAGATTTAAAATAACTAGTCGAAGAATTGAGCAGGAAATTTTCACCCAGAGGGTGGGTGACTTGGACTGGACTTTTAAAATACCTTGACATGTAGTTGAAATGTCTTAACCCACACGTCTACGGGCCAAGAGCTGGAACATGGGATTAGGTTGCATGGCATGTTTTTTGTTGTTCAGAATACGTCAACTTTCCTTCTTCTGTGCTGTAAGCCTCTCTGATTCTTTCTGTGGTTTTATATTCTCAAGTGAAGGTTTCCTGTGTTTATATAAAATTGTTCACACTTACAGTTAAGCTTTTAAACCAATGCCTTTCCATCTAAACCGTTATACGACAGAATGAAGGTTATCTCTGGCACTGATCAATATTGTGCCTACATTTCTTTTGTTGTCTATTTGTCTCGAAGTGCAGTATCTTTACATTTATTTCTATGGTCGGGCATGCATGGCATCTTAAAAGTGGCAGCTTGTAAACCTTGTGCAGGACCTTCATGTTCAATATACACCTGCACAGTTTAGAGAGAACACTGGTGGTGACTCACGTTCAGAAGCTTCACTTTTAAAGTATCCAATCAGTTTTATCACTTCATCAGTTCTTTCAAAAGACCGAACCTCTGCCCGAGATTCAATTATTTCCACTGGATCTTCCATCACCTGTTGATGAAAGAAAAGTTCCAACATTGATTTCATTCTTAAACATTACTGTATTTTCAGCATAAAAAGATGACCTTCAATACTTTTCTCTGAACTAAGGACAGCAGTGTTGGATATTGCATATTCATAATATGGGCATCTACTACTTTAATGCAGCAACAGGTTCTCTTCTGAGGAGGAATTATTGTTGGTTTATATCTTCATAGCCTTCCGCTTGGTGGATGTTGTGAAGTAATGTAAGGATTTTCAGTCTGACTATCAGTCGGACAGTCTACAACTTGAATGCTACCTCCATGGCAGTAACCATCGGTCGATAGGGTAATTAGCACTATCTTCCAGGAGGGTTTTAGTCAATCATACAACCCATACAATTGGCAGAATAGACAATGTCCGCCAGTCACAAGTCTCCTGCTCATGGTGATCCAGAATTCACAGAAACAGCTCCACTCTCTATGACTAAGTATAATTGTTTTTTGCAATACAAAGTCTCTTACTTTGCCAAAAATGGCAGTGCAATTTTTTTTATCAGTCACACTGATAAAGTCATCGAGTCATAGAGATATACAGCATGGAAACAGGCCCTTTGGCCCACTTTGTCCAGGCAGACCAAGTTGCCTAAACTGAACTAGTCCCATTTGCCTGCATTTGGCCCATATCCTCTCAACCTTTCCTATCCATGTACTTGTCCAAATGTTTTTTAAATGCTGTAATTGTACTTGCCTATATCACTTGCCCTGGCAGCTCGTTCTATATATGCAGCATTCTCTGTGTGAGAAAGTTGCTCCTTACATCCCTTTTAAATCTTTCCCCTCTCGCCGTAAACCTATGCCCTCAAGTTTGAGGAAACACAAATTGGAGGTACTTCTCGGATAAAATGGAAAACTATTTTTTGCTCTGCAAGCAAGGGGCACCAACTGGGGGAAGAGCAGAAGCAATTAAGGGGAACTACCAAAAATTATGGGGAGAGCAGCAGTTGGGAATTGGGGGAGACTGGGGTAAATTTAGGGGAGAGGAATTGTGAGAAGCAATTCAAGGAAGGGTATCATCTATCAGGCTACACATACAACTGAATAGTCCTGGCTGCTTCATAGCACACCAAGTTGCTGTAAAGGCTTCAAAGGTGCCTTGAGACCTCTATTTCTGGGATAACATAATTAAGTTTACCTGTATATATGTAACTGTTATTGTAAAGAGCATAGTCTTGACCATTTCCATGTGCAATAATATCATGTTCCACATCTTTCAGTCATTTTTAATTTTCAATGTATTTTGAAACCCTACACACTTCAAACTTATACTGAAAGTGTTCACAGAATTAGCTACTTTTTTCCAGAGTCTACTTCATATAACAACATGCAGAGACTTTCCTGGAAGTTCTAAACAGGTATGAAAGGTTCAGTACCCTGGTTGACATTCCTGAGATTTAAAAAAATGATAAATTCATTTAAAATGTTTATGAATGATCTCACAAGTGCTTTCTCTCTCTTTGAAACAAGACAAAGCAGAGCAGAAAGGACAACAGTCTTTAACTCCATTGATCTCGTTGAAGGATTTGGAGCATAGGAGCAAGAGTAGGTCATTCAGCCCCTTAACACTGCTCCGCTTTTCCAAGATATAACTGATCTTCTATCTCAATGCTATATCTCTTGATGTCAATTGTATCCAGAAATTTAATGATCTCTGTGTTGAATATACTCACTGAACTTGCACAGGTCTCTGAGGTATGGAAATCCTAAGATTCACTACCCACTGAGTGAAGAAATTCCTTCTCACCTCAGTCCTAAATTGTTTGTTCATTATTCTGAGACTGTGTCCCCTACTTATAGAACCCTCCCTCAATCCAGTGCAACATCCTTTTTGCATCCACCATCTCAAACCCTGCAAGAGTGTTATAAATGTCAATGAGATCATCTGTCATTCCTCTAAACTTCACAGAATACATGTCCTAGAGAATACAGAATAAATACATTGATTGTAGACAATAATAAATATATTTATGTACTCTACACCAGACATCAGAGTTCTTTCAGTAATGCTGGCCTAGCAGTGGCAGTAAAAATCCCCCCAAAGTGTCACAGTTCCAAATTCAAGATTTTCCTAACCCCAACTTAAAATTTAGAACTTTAGCATATAAGTTCATTTATTTAGCATTTGAAAGCAAGCTCCCATCTTCAGAGATGGCCTCTTCATTATAAGTTAAGGTTATTTGTTGATAATATACATACAATTCCTCTGATGATGAAGAGGCCCAGGTCAGCCCACAACAGGACTTAGATAACATCTACATTTGAGCTATCAAGTATCAGTGAATGTTCATGACAGTTAAGTGCTAATATTAGCTACATTGAACAAGAGAAGAGCCAGTTTTCTCCAACTAACCTTTAGTTCTTCATTTACACACCAAGTACCTCATCATCAACGCATTTGTGACCACTAACCAGATGGTGAACTGAATCAACCACAGCACTAAGTCTATAAAAGTAAAGCAAAGTTCAATATTCTATGCTGTTACTCATTTCCTTAACCCTCAACTCCTCTCTTCCATATAAAAGACTCAAATCAAGGGATTGATAGAATACTCACCACTCCCTTGGATGGGTGCAGATATAACAATGTTCACTAAGCTCAACGCTAACTAGAATAGAGCAGCTTGCTGGATCATTGCCCCGTGTCACTGAACTCAATGACCCAGAAATTCCAATCAGCGGTCAGAAACCCAATTTCCAACCCTGATCAGACAAAACAAATGTAGATACCTTAGATTACTTCTACACTGGTAATTCCTGAACAGGAGCTTCCTGTCACAAAACAGGGGATATCTGTCAAAGAATCCATGTAACCAGCAAGGGAGAGGATTGTCATTGAAAGAACATCCTCTCTTGTAGTAGTTCTTATGAATGTTCTGTGATTTTAATGGCCAACGGTAAAGTCAGCTGCTCTGATAACTACTGTGATGTGAACTCAGTGTGGGGTAGTGTGACAGTTGGGGAGCGTAGGCTGAGTTTGCCAGATGGGTGAGCAGAGTAGGGTAATGAATGCATGAGGGGTTAAGGTGGCAGCTCAGTGAGGGAATAGAACGGTAAGGTGCCTGCAGGATGAGGGGATAGTGGGAGGCGATAGCATGCCTGATGGCTTAGGGAGTATGGTAGCAATAAGCGGTGAAATATTTAGAATTGGACAAGGGTCAGGTTGGGAGGGCAGTTGGCAAAGTGCCATCCCAGGAATGGGGAGGTTCGTATCAGGCTGGAGAGGGTGGCAGGGCGGGTGAAGGGGAACAGGTCTGTAGGAAGAGTGTCCATTGCAATGGCTGGAGTACAGGATACAGGGACTCAATGGTAGGGATGGAGGTGGGATAAGATGGGAGTGTGGTTAGTCCAGCAGAGGCCTAATGCTGAGCTGGGTTGAGATGGACTGGGCTGAGGTGGTGTCAGATCAGGGGGAAGGGCTATCAGGTCAGGGGGGAGGATGTGGGTCTACCAGTAGAGATGGCGTTAATTCCCAGGGGAATTGAGTGGGGTAGCCTCGGGAGGAGGAGGTGTCAGGCTGGCAGGGAGAGGCTCAGGAGGAGAAGGGGTTCCTAAAAGGAGGGAGATATCAGGGTCAAAAGTGAGGGTATCATTGTTGGTCAGCCATGAGTCAGAGGTTCACTTTGACAACTACTCAGGACTTGGGGTAGGCTTTAAACCCCTAATGCTTCCTGGATATTATCAAACTTATTCAGGCTGGAACTCTCTGAAATCCCCAACATCGAAGGGCTTTTTTAGAAGGTTCCAAACCCAAGCAATTTATCCATTAGAATTTACAATTTCCCAGGCACTCCCCTTGGGAGTCATTTGCAGGAATTTTTGCTTGATCCTAACACACAACTTCAGACAATGATCCTGTAAAGGGTATCTGGCCATCAGAATATCTGAGCCAATCCTCACTGCACTCCACCACCAGTATAGAGGGGTTGGAATATGTACAATATGCACAATCCATAGATAACACTGCAATCTGAGATTCTGGTCCTAATCACTAGCCTATGTCTTCGGATTCCTTCAGGGGAAGAAAACTTGGACTCAGCTGCACTGTTGAGTAGCTGCTAACACATGAAACATGACTACTTGGGCAAATTATTTGTGACCATGCCACAACATATGGCACCACTTATGCCACTGGAAAATTGGCAAAACAAACTGGTGGTGGAGTGCAGTGAGGATTGGCTCAGATATTCTGATGGCCAGATACCCTTTACAGGATCATTGTCTGAAGTTATGTGTTAGGATCAAGCAAAAATTCCTGCAAATGACTCCCAAGGGGAGTGCCTGGGAAATTGTAAATTCTAATGGATAAATCGCTTGGGTTTGGAACCTTCTAAAAAAGCCCTTCAATGTTGGGGATTTCAGAAAATTCCAGCCTGAATAAGTTTGATAATATCCAGGAAGCATTAGGGGTTTAAAGCCTACCCCAAGTCCTGAGTAGTTGTCAAAGTGAACCTCTGACTCACGGCTGACCAACAATGATACCCTCACTTTGAGAAGAAGACCCTGAAAGATACTGGTGACACAGTTGGTTTTACTCACGTCCAGAAGGAATGCGACAAGGACTTCAGGAGAGAGCTCGCCATCATATTCAATCAGATGATCATCTTTAAAAATATATACACTCCCAATTTCGATCAAACCTGTGAAAAATGGAGACAGTAAGTGAAAGAGAACATATCCTGGAAGCTGGATGTTATTCTAAAGAGCTTTAAAATCTTACACAACTACATTGCCATGAATATTCACTGCTCAGCCTTGAGTAGCTCTGATGCTTCAACAAGTAGCTCTATTATCGATGTGGGTTGCTGTTTGAATTCAGTACTAGTTACGATAATCTTGCAGCTCATGCAACAAAATTTGATCATGAAACTGGGCTCTGCAGCATGAAATCTGTAAAAAGTGAGTACCATGCTTTGCAGCCACTTCTATGGAGTCAGTATAGTGCCACGTACTGGGAAAGATGCTGGGTTGAGCATGACATGCATGTGCTGGAAGAACAAAGTGTTTGGAATGTGAAGACACCTCTCCAAGGTGGTCTTTAGTTGCTCCCCAACCCAAACAGGCAGAGATGGCCTGCAGACTTGCTTGGTGTGCTGATCCCTCAACCTGCCACTGACCAGTTGGCCTCCTTATTCCCTATTGGCAAGGCACAGGTACCTTCACAGGCCTCAAACCAGACAACTCTGCAATTTTCGTTCTCCTCCAATCCAGGCCTGGAAATTCAGATGCTGTAGAAGCATTGTCATTATATTTCCTATGTGTAGACAGTAGCAGGATGATAGGGCATATGGATTTGCCACGCAAATAGAGCTTGCACTGGTGCAGGGAACCGTTTTCTATACACATGTGACTCTGTTGGTATTCTGTGCTGGGCAGTTACTGGCTCCAGTCAGAACTAAGAACATACAAACTCATTGTTTGCTGCAAGTTTTTTATTCTGAAGTGTGCACCTTGGAAAAGCTCAAACAACTCTAAGCAAGCACATGAGCACAGGCTGAACACTCACCGGTGTCACTTGACTCACCTCTTCAAGAGACACTGTCCCAACATTACATAAATCAACTCTAACACAGAACACCCTTCCCCCTTTACTTTCTAACTTCTCCTTAAACAAAACCCAAATATTTATACAGTTCTAAACTCAACATATATAAGCTGCAAAACATTCACCAAGGACATGATACACTAGATACAACAAACAGGAAGGTCATTTAATCAGAGATTCTGTTCAGCGGGTGCCTATTTTTCACTGGCTGTCTTTTTACTTTTGGAGCCAGATTCACCTTAGGGATTCGTGGAGCCCTCATATAAAGGGGGTCTTGACTCTAGGGGGCATAGACACAGTATCTTCCACAGGAGCAGTATCCACGCTGGCGATGGTGGGTTGCTTCAGAGACAGTGTACTGCCTTCAGGAAGTAAGGCAGAGATCCCTTCTTGAGGGCCTGTGGTGATGGGAGTTTCCAACACTTGGGATGTTCTGTCAACAGCTGGTCAGTGTGCCTTTGCCACACAATCTCATCATGGGTCTGACTACGTAGAATATGAGACCTGTCTGGGTCAAGACTGGGACCCACATTGAAATAACTCCATAGAGGCCAGTATCCCATCACCAAGTCATGCTTTATTTACATGTGGAGAGTCCTTGACTTGAAAAGTACCTGACTTTCAGAAACTAATCCAGCTCTCATCTAAAAGGCAAACTGTACACTTCCTGCAAACTCCATTTTGTACAGCAATATTTTATTCCCATTGCCTTACCCCCTTCTTCAGTTTGGTTGTAGTTCTCAGATAGCTGAAATTAATTTTGAAGCTTTATAATGTCTGATATAAGTATTTTTCTTCATACCTTCAATTTTATTTAGTATGTAACTGATGGTAAGAAATTTGGCTTCCACCACTGAACTTGGTTCATGCACAATAGCTAAGTTGCATTTGCTGCTATGGTTAATGTCTCAAATGAATTGAAAAAAAAAACAAGCTACGGATAAAGTCATACAGGGAGCGTACATTCATAAGTAGACCTCCTGTTTCCCCAGTATGAATTGCTTACCTAAATCCAGAAAGAGCAGAGCGATGGGTTAGCAACAGTGAAGTCAACTTATGATACAAGTACTACACTTAATGGGAGCAACACACGTTGTTCTTTTAAAGCAAGATAACAATGTACTACTACCACTTAATCCAAATTGAAGGGTATTTTTCATATCACGTGAAAACTACTGTTATTGTTATCACTTTTTCACACTTCTATTCAAGTTGTGCTACATGGCAGTACGTTCTGACAGCAATCTGATCACACTTCCAGTTGGAATTTTATTTAATAAGAGCTATGAATTTTTAGCTTGGATCCCTGTGAGATCCATTCCTATCACAAAGCAACTTAAAAGGGTTCTTTTTACTTCTTAAGAGGGTTTATTTTACTTCCTAAAATCTTAGTTTTCCATTGTGTTTAAGCCATCAGCAAATCTGCTCTTATGCATTATTTTTAAAGAGGTAATAACGATGAAGTAGACTTCTGAAGCAAAGCACAACCCTATTTCAAAAATATGTGAATTGTAAAAGCAGAGGTAAATAGGTACAACACTTCAAATGAATTATCATAAAGGATAATGTCATATAAATCCATAGTTTATCAAGTTTCTAAATTAAACACAGAGAATGCTGGAGAAACTCAGCAGCTCTGGTAGCAACTGTGGAGATTTGTGTTTATTTAACCACTGTCTCTATTTCTATTCTTCGACAGAACTATTTTCTTTTAAAGTTTAATTACATCAGAGTACTGCAGGACTGGTTGCAATAACTAGCAATTTTGGACTCCTTCAGGATTCTTCATGTATGGAATTTATTGATGATTGTAAGGAGTATAAGCACCACAAACACAAATATTACCATATCATAGCTTTTGAAGTTAAACTAATATTCCTTCAGAGGAGTCACGTTGAAACAGTGAACATAATATCCTCTAGCGGAGATACTAGCCCTTTCCAGTGTAATTGCATTGATATTTCAGGATGGAAATTCTTGAAAGCACAAGCTGCTATAGTTGTAGCGAGGAAAACCTGGGATCTGAGTGAACAGGGCCAGCAACAATATATAGCCTCAACCAAACTGATTGAAAGAATTAACAGTGCAGGAGAGGAAAGTGTAAATTACTGTTAAATTATGGTAACACTGCCAAATCAGACATATATTAGGGTTCATGTGAGAAGAAAAATAAGTGGCAGAAAGTAAGATTAAAAGGAAGAGAAAGTGAAAATAATAAGAAAGGAAAAGAAAGATTGGATTAAAGGGTTCTGATGAACGTCATTGATCTGGAATATTAAATCTGCTTCTCTTCCTACAACTGTTGTCTAACCAATTTTTTTGTGTTCTTGTTTTTATATTAGATTTCTGAGAAATATTGAGAGGGAAAGAAACATTGAATTTTAAATAAAATGTTTAAAATTTTAAAAAATTAAAAATTTAAAAGGAACAGATTGAAAAATAAATGTTACTTTTAAAAAAAATCTTTTAGAGTGACTTAAATTTTAAGGAATGAGACTCCACACGTGCAGTAGTTCTTTTTCAGTGGCAGAGAGATTAGTCAGCTTTAGTCAGCATTTACAATGTCATTAATGGGTACTTAGACTGAAATGGACAGGATTTAATTTTCTGTGGTGAGATTAGTTCATGTCTGCTGCACAAGTAGAGAACTTTCAGTTATAGAACAGCATGGCACAGAAGGGAGTTATTTGATTCATTGAATCTGCGCCAATTCTTTTAAAGATCAATTCAGTTTGTCCCATTCCCTGGATTTTATCCAATATCCCTGCTTTTCTTCTTTCTCCTCCAAATATTTGTCAAATTCCCTTCTTGAAGTCAGTCACTGAATCTGTACACTTCAAATCCCAATGATTTGCAACACTAAAATGATCCTCCCAAGGTCATGTTTGTTCCTCAGCCAATAACCCCAAATTTGTGCCCTCAGTTTATTCACCCTTCAATGTGACATCTCCTCTAGGAGATACTATACAGAGTTAATGTAATAAAGAGTCTCAAGGCTCTTCATATTGACAGGAAAGGGATCAGTTTAGGAGTGTATTTTGTGTACTGTACAGTGAAAATGCTGCTAACTGAAAATTACCTGATTCGTCAGCACAATACAATGGGCACTGTATCTGTGTTACATTTAACATACAACATAACTACAGCAAAACTAAACAGTATCTGACCAATTTAGCAACATTGTAAATTAACTGGTAAACTTCAAGAGGACACAGGCAAGCTGATGGAAGAATGAACAGACATATGGCAGATGAAATTAAATGTACAGTGATACATTTTTGTACGAAGATTGAGGAAAGGTGACTTAAAATGAAGATTACAATTTCAAAAAGCATTCAGGAAAAATAGACCTGGAGTTTTATGTACATAAAATGCTGAAAGAGGGAGGGTGGGATGAGAAAATGGTTAAAGGAGCATACAGGACTCCTTGTTTTATAAAGCATGGAATAGAAAAACAAGGAATTTATGACAAATGTTTTGGAAACACTGATTTGGCGCCATTGCAGTGCTGTGCAGTATTGTTCTAATTCTGGACATCACACCTCAGAAAGGCTCTAAAGAGGGTACACATAAGATGTGATGAGGGACTTCAGCTCAGTTGATAGATTGGAGCAGTTGTTCTCCTTAAACCAATTTGAAAGAAGACTTGATGTATTTTACAAAATGATGAAGGGGCTGGAGTGAGCAGAGTGAGAAAAACTATTTCTATTGTCAAAACTGTCAAGAATCAGAGGTCAAAAATTCAACTAATTTTGTAAAAGAAGCAAAGGTGATATTAGGAAATCCTTTGCACACAATCTGAAGTGAGGTTCTGAGGAAGGGTCATCGGACCCGAAACCTTAACTCTGATGTTTCCTACACAGATGCTGCCAGACCTGCTGAGCTTTTCCAGCAACTTCTGTTTTTGTTCCTGATTTACAGTATCCTCAGTTCTTTCAGTTTTTATTCAAATTCATGTCATTCAATGTATTTGAACAGTGAGGCAGATAGCAAGATAGTGTTTTTGAAAAGCTAACAGTGGGGTGAGCTTGAATAACAACCTTTGAATTTCAACATTCAGCTGCTCATCTATCTTTGCTTAATATTGCTATTGTA